TCTTTGGTAACATGGATTGTTCGTCGATTTAGGCTTTAACCTTCGCATCAATTGAGTTACGCAAACTTGTAGAGTTTGCTTCGCTCATTTGAATGGTAACACTCACATATCTTTTCGATTTCGTTTTGTCCCTGTCATAAAAACTGATATTCTTTTTTGTTCAACCTATTATATGTTCTATAAATTTGGCTGAGTAAATGTATTTTGTTGCCTGTTTTGGCACACCCTAGGTAATTTGAAAACACCAGCACTTATTCGAAGGCAAGGGATTCTCACCTGGAAGACATTGACTGAATTCGTTCTGATGTGGGCATCGTATGTCCGAACATATTAGTGCGATGCATCTGAAGTGTAGCTGTCGGATCATCGGTAGCCGCCTGTCGTTTGAATTTGTTACGTCGATTTTGAAACCAGATTTTCACCTAAAAACACGTTTTCGACTAATCCGAAATTTTAACTTTTGTGTGGGACTAGATGTGATTTATACCTGTGTTTCGGTAAGATGAAGTTTCTGTGCAAGATGGGCTCTTTCCTGACTGCTAAGGTATCGTTTCATGTCGAACATTAGCTCCAGCTGTGATACCTGAAAATTTAAAAATTCTTTTAATTTTCTTTTCAAAAGTTGGAACTCAGAGATTTTGCTATGAAAAAAAATTTGCAAAGTTTGTAGGTTTTCTGCGTCTAAAATGAGCAGATGAAGTACTCACCTGGTGTCTGCTAAACACAGTACGGGTCTTCTTCTTACGGTTAGTGTTATTTGGATCAGAGCAACCGTCGTCATCGCTACCTCTGGCATCTCCTGTAAATGATGTATGCTACTTCTAATCTGAGTAAAATTTGCAAGGAATCTTCATAAAAGTGAAAAAATAACACGGAGGAAGTTTGATACCAGCAAAATTTTCTTATCGCAACGGTAATTGTTTCAAAAAAAATTTGAGGCTCAGGAAATATTTTCGACAGCTTTCTGCACTAGAAAATGCTGAAGTAAACTGCAACAAAAAACTATTCATAGAGGGGAGTATAACTGCAGTGCTAGGATTTTTTCCAACAATCATTGCAGGATAACTGGAAGCAAGCGCACCCTATTTTTGAGACGCTCAGCAGCCGCATTGCAGCCGCTGGACCGAAGTCTCTGTCATGAGTAAACAAGGATGCGCGAGGAAAACGTGTTGAGCA